CTATTTTTTGTGCCTCATCATGAAAACAATTTCATCTTCGAAAATATCGAAATAAAGGCGTACTTTCATTATATAGTATTAGGTTTCTCCAGAATTTGTAAGCTTGATATCTGAAAAATTTCTAATACTGTATAAATAAGCATCAAACGTCGTTTAGTAAAAATAGAGTTAAATATTTTTTTAGTTGCATTTTAGGCTATATTTCTATTCAAAAGCTTAGGTTATGCAAATAGTTTTTGCAATTGATCTATGGCTTCATAAGAACATAGAACAAAAGACGCACCATGATTTTTTGTGCCGAATTTTGTGGGAAAAATATGCACATTTATATATTTGAGGAAATACGGTTTAAGTGGGTTATAATGTCCAAACAGGAGATAACGAGTCCGTCAAGTGTGAATGCAATTTCACGGATTCATGAGCCAATTCCTGATCATCCCTCCTCAGCATTTTTTCGCACCATAGGACAAAACAATAACATCTGCTTCAGTCTCCCAAGTGTAATTAGCTCCGCGTGTGTGAATATTCTATTCTATTTTTTATTATTTTTTTCGTTGAAAGGTCGACTGCGCTTTTCCGAATGTTCATCAGGATCTATCAGGCAAGTTGGAACCCGCGGCCCGGGAAAAAAACTTCTGTCAACCCATCAGCCAGGTTGGATTCCCATGTTTTTTGAAAGAATTTTCCGTACAGTATATACAGTATACAGTGAGACCCCCAAGATGCGGACATAATTGGTGCATCAAGAGTGTCCCTATAAGTTGAGTTTTGTTTTCCCATAGACTTACATTATATAATTTTTAATTGGTGTTTTCTGGAAGAAATATACTTCAAAATTCTATGAAAAAAAAAATGTTTGTCCATTGGATTTGATTCAGTGAATATATTTTCAACCCAATAAGAACATTTGGAGCATTGAATAGTATACCACTGTAAAGTTCATTGAAATGTTGGCATCTGTAAAAATAAATCCAAAGTCACAAATAGAGAAGGAAGTCCCTAATTGCTACAGATACTTTTTTTAATTAGCTGAATGGATGCAAAAGTGATGGAAGAAGTACCATACAAAAGAATTTTTCTCACGTACATCTTAGGGTTGGGAATATCTGTTTCTTGCAATTAAGCCTAATAAAAGTCAATTTTCCTAAAATTTATTGGCAATTTCATCATGAAATGTCCTCATGTCAAGTCAGTGTCCCTATGTCAGGATTTTTTCATGATTTTTTTTATTGAAAAATAAATGTCCCTATGTGCAATTGTCCCCACGTTGAGGTGTCTGCTATAATTTTAAAGGTTACGATGGTGCCAAAGCATATACTTATAGCATAGGACTAATTATATCACAGAATTCACATTTCCCTGCAGATGATTTCTCAACAGAACATGAGACTAAATATATAGAGAGTAGAGAAATATTTTCCTTTCATCCTCAGCCTTGATTTTCTTACAAATTAGGTTTTTCTATTACAGTGCAACCCTGATATACCACCCCCCATTAGACCGCCACCCTCACTTCCTACCAAATATTTCCTTCAAACAAAACATCCCAACCTTGAAAGGATGAAACACCACCATTAAACTGCCAACCACCATCTGCCAAAAAAATTTTCCCCTCCAAATCTGCGCCCAACATGTATTTTCCCCCCTTTAAACTGCCAATTGGTTTCCTGTCCATCAGCCAGGTTTTAGTCTTTTGAAACCTGGTTTTCTGGTTTCCTCTCATGAAGGTTATCATCTTCTGATGCATGGCATTCTTTTTTTTTTTTTAAACAAAAAGCCAAAATAATTTCTGCTTCAACACATGAGCTCATTTCCTCTCATGAAGGTTATCATCTTCTGATGCATAGCCTGCTTCCTTCTTCTTTTTTTTTATAACTAGCCAAAATAATTCATCCTAAAATACAGCATGACACCCTTCACAGTTTCATGTCAATAAAATCCTTGAATAATATTGTCTACAATCTTCAGCAACTGTTTTGTCTCATTAACCAAGGACACAGAAGGTTGGACTTTTTTCAAATATGCAAACCAAAAAAGCAGTTCTAATCCCAGTCAACTGAGTTTGATCTTTGGAAGTGGAAGTGCTGAAGTGTGTGAAATGGTAGGGAAGAATAAGGCTAGTATAATCCCTGAAAATGTCAAATGAAATCCTTTAAAACTTGAATAAAGTAGTTTACTCCACTTATATGTGCTGCTTTTATTCTCCATGTGCCACCCTTTCTTCAACCTTCCCCCATTAAAAAAAAAGAATGTTTTTTTTCTTCTCCCGTTAAACCGCCACCCTCGTTAAACCGCCAAAATTTGGTGGCACAAACGTTGGCGGTTTAACGAGGTTCGACCGTTATATAATATAACGGAGTAAGATTCTAATGTATTCCAGTTGCGCCTTCTGAACTCCTCGTACTACCGGTATAAGTTTCGTTAGAGAAAAAAAGAGAAAAAACGGGGGAAAAAAATTAAGAATGGATCCATTGTTGGCCTTATCTTGTCTAGTTTTTGTTTTTGTAAAGAATAAGTGGCAGATCTCACCGATGTTGTCGACACCCAGTGCAGAGGCCTTCGACTCCTTTTCTCGGTCTTGGCGTTTGTTGCAAGTATCACCCGAGTTTTTCCACCACTTGTTGTAAAACATTGGGATCACGCCTTTCTCCTGCAACTCCAGGATTGCCAGCGATATCCTATCTCTCCAGGGAGACCCTGCAACCCACATGGAGCACATGTGAACCCTCAGACGGGTGACGGGTTCAAAGCTCATCGATTTCTCTCGTGTCGTGAGGGGGGAATTCAGTAAAAGGCTTGCACACAGGGATATTCTGATTCTTTTATTTTTTTTTCGAAAACATTTCTTTCCGCCTGCTCTCTGAATTTTTGCATCCTTTTTTTATACTAGCATTCAATTTTTTTAAAGATGTTTTTCCATCTGTCTTGCATTATTAATCCTTTCAACCGCTGATGGTAATTTATTTTATGAAATGGCTTAATTAAAAATGGAAGAATCAACGGGCAACTCTTGCCATGCAGCCGTTTTAGTTTGGAAAAGCTTTTATCCCCATTTAAAAGGCACACATATTTGCCGCTCAGTTGAAACTTTAATCTGAACTTTTGGTCTGCTTTTTCAGTTTTCCCTAATTTTTTGCTTCGTTCAACATCTCTCAGTCAAACCTCCAAAACTCAGAAACAAATTTTTAGTAAATCCCTGGCCAACCCCTGTGAGTGCGATGGACTTTAAACCAAAGTATCTCAAAAATTGTTGAACGACTAAATTTGATATCAATCGTGCTACAAATGTTTTTTTTTCGTTCAAATTGTCATCTACCAGTTTGAGTCCAAATATATACTGTATTTGCAATAATTTAATTTGAAAAATTTTAAACTACTTTAAATATGTCGGAAGTATGACGCACACGTAAAATATTTACAAAACATTTCTAATGACGCGCAATTAAATTGTACAAATTGATTTTCCCGGTAAAAGGCGGATTTGGTACTTAAGTTTTAACTATGGGTACTTTTCTTCTCTGTACCAAGGTTTAATGGGAATCGAAGGCTTTTAGATTCTCCCGAAAGAGCCTTTTCCTCATCCAAAAGACCAAGACCCCCAGACAACTCATTGGAAATCCTCTTCGGCTGCAAAATCCGAAAGAAGTTCTGTCCACAAGCGGAGAATTTTGCGGATGTGACTTGGAAATAACGTGGCAGGTTGCAGAAGCAACGATGACTATACCTCATCTTTTCCCCACTGAAATTTGCTAAGAGGCACAAAATTCTCCCACCTCTCTATCTATTATTAATTTGACTTTTTTTCAATCATATATTGGCAGCCTGAAAAAGAAAGGCGAGAAAAAGTTTCTCTGAAAGAAATTCCAAACGGATCAGCAAGCATGAAATTCTGCACGAGACGAAATCAACTCTTCCGGAACGGTAAGAAAAAAAAAAACAGCGACGAAAACTTATTGAAAATCTCTTTCGGACTTTTTCTTTCAAGAAAATAACAAAAGTCACGTTCATGTGTGTATATACTCGTACATGCAAGAGAGAAAAATAAGGTCACCTCTGGGGGTTGCGATGCCGTATCCCTTGGAATCGAGAAGGCCGCCGATTTGGGTGAGATTGCAATTTCGCTGGACAATGTAGTCCAACATGGTGGACTCCATGAGGAAGGCGTAGTTTCCATCCAACACTCGTCGGATCCCTTCTTCGTAAGTGTCTACGAACACTGACGGTTTCCTGTTCTCCATGAACCTCCACATCTTCTGATACGTTTCTATCTTCGAATCCTTNTTCTCCATGAACCTCCACATCTTCTGATACGTTTCTATCTTCGAATCCTTCGCATTCACACCAAAAATAAAATGCAAGGAAAAATATGAAAATATATGCCCCGAGTTTTCATAGGACATATAATTTTCACTGAAGGAGTTGAAAGAAGAAAATTAAAAAAGCAACTTGACGTACAATATTAAATTATTAGAGTAACAAAAATTAGACCGAGTTTTTAAGAACTAAAAATATAATTTTCAAAAGACACAGAAGGAAATGTATCTAGTGGCAATTCAGCTTTCCTCTCTCCGTCCCCTGTGCCTTTTATGGATGAAAACATGACTATCTATTCATTTTTATGATTGTTTTTATCACCAAATGTACACAGAGCTGGGACAAACTCTTGAGAGCAATTTAGAAAAAGGATTCTAAAAGCTCTAAAAAATCAAGCTCAACAAAGGTTAAACATTGTACAAAGTAAATGACAAACGTTTTAAAGCCGCGCAAAGCAAGACAATCATTGTGCAAACCCATTCCATTCTAAAAGTAAGCACGTGTCAAAATTCTCTTACATACAGGACTTCAGAAAAAAGCAAATACTTGCTAGTCATAAACCAAGGATGAGCCCAAAACGTTTTAGCAGTGATGGACAAGTGTACA